TAGATAGATAGATAGATAGATAGATAGATAGATAGATAGATAGATAGATAGATAGATAGATAGATAGATAGATAGATAGATAGATAGATAGATAGATAGATAGATAGATAGATAGATAGATAGATAGATAGATAGATAGATAGATAGATAGATAGATAGATAGATAGATAGATAGATAGATAGATAGATAGATAGATAGATAGATTTATTTATTTATTTATTTTAGAATGTCAGGAGCCGTTCAATAGAGAGGGGGATACTGTAGGGATCTGCATCTGCCCTGCTCTGTGCAGCTAGTTAATGACTCTCAGGTGCTGCGTATTGGCTTTAATCAGTGACTCACCTTTATATACTGAGCTTTCCTGCATCTCAGGCAGGGGAGCATTAAGTGTCCTGCTGCACCTTCATGGTCGGCTCCTAGTGTTTTGGTTTCCTGAGTATTCCCTCGAGTTGTGAGTAATATTGCAGCGCTGTCAGCAATTTATGTTTGTTATTGTCATTTTATAATTAAACACCTTTTTGTGACACTATTGGAGTCCTGCCTGCATTTGGGTCTCAACCAACCACCCGATCGTGACAAGTCTGATAGTCAGCAATTGAACAATGACATGAGGATAGACTTGTCCTTGCTGATCAGACTGAGGAGAGGACAAGAAAGAATTATGCAGTCTTAATATTTTTTATGCAAACAAGCAACATTAATTTTAGCGATCTCTGATTGGTATAATGATTGCTGGTTCCTCAGATAAATAACATTATTCACTCATGTTTCTGTTCAGTGCCCTGAGTTGACTTCTGTTGTGACTTGGTGCTATATAAATAAACTGAACTGAATTATAACTGTCATTACTGCCAACGTAAATTCTATTATTACCATATACCGTATATGTTTGGCCAGACCCAGCTGCTTCAGGTCAAATTTAATGTCACTACTCGGGTCTCCAGAATGCAGCTGATGTCACTGGTGTCTCTAATGCCATGTTTCAGACTATGGAGCTGTCAATTACCACATTCTGCTTCCCAGTGGTTTTGTGAGAAAACTCAGAAATGTGAACCATTGAAGCCCCTAGAATATTACTTTTAGCACTATGGTTACTCTGAAGAGGCACCTGGCCTGATGTGCAGGTTGCTCTAGTTTTTCCAGATTGCTACAGAGAGTTTCTTTTGGTAATGTTGAGCTAACGGTTTTTGAACAGGGCAGAGCTGAGCTTCCAACTCTTACAACCTTGTCTCTGAGGCTACCACAATACTATGTTAAAGCCAAAAGAAGCAGTTTTAAGGCTTTTTCTGCATCATCCAAAAATGATGCAGAAAAACTGATCCATGCATTTATCATGTTTAGGCTGGACTATTGCAACTGTTTATTATCTGGGTGTCCAAATACTTCTTTAAAAAGTCTTCAGTTGATCAAAAATGCTGCTGCCAGAGTTTTAATGAGAGTTGGAGGAGAGATCAAATTTCTCCAGTTTTAGCATCTCTCCATTGGCTCCCTGTCAAATTCACAATAGAATTAAAATCTTACTTCTAACCTGCAAAGCCCTCAACAACCTAGCTCCAGATTACAGATCTTATTGTTCCATATTTTCCTAACAGAGCATTTTGCTCTCAGGCTGCAGGTTTACTTGTGGTTCCTAGAGTTTCCAAAAGTAGAAAGGGAGGAAGATCTTTCAGTTATCAGGCTCCTCTCTTATTGAACCAACTTCCAGTTTCTGTCCGTGAGGCTGACACATTGTCCAGTTTTAAGACTGGGCTGAAGACTTTCCTTTTTGTTAAATCCTATAGTTAGGGTTCACTTGGTTTCCTGAGCTATTCCTTAGTTATGCTGCTATAGGTTTAGACTGCTTGAGGACAAATTGACCACATTTCCTCACTCTTCTGTTGTCTTTACTTGCTTTACTCTACCTGTTTAAAGGGAGTTTTTCCTTTCCACTGTCTCCTTTGTGCTTGCTCAGGATGAAAGACTGTAAAGAAGTGAATATTCAACACAATCTGCTGCTCTCTTAGATAAATAACTTTAGTAATTGGCTTTTATAATGTATGTGAATGTTTTTGTTCAGTGCCCTGAGACAACGTCTGTTGTGACTTGGTGCTATATAAATAAACTAAACCGAATTTAATTAATTAAATAACAACTCAAATTGTAACCCTAAGTAGACCAAACTGTGCAATATCTAAACATTTCATAACCATTTTGCTCACATCTGAGCTATGTAGGTGTAACTAAGACCCACCGTTAGCCGCATAAAATTAGGTGGCATTACAAGAACAAGATAGCTACATTAATTTCTCATTTCAGTTCTGTAGTATTTGCCTTGTACTGTATTCAGTGGGAAGTAGTAGTTTGTTGCATTACACTTTGTTCATATGGGCTTTAATGTCGGTGCCTAACGGCACATGATCACCAACCCTTCTCTGCACTCACATGACCAAAATAACTAAATAAACTGGTGCCTTTCCCCAGTAGTCACTGGGCAAAAGCCAGGGCCAGGGGATATGTGCAGTTAAAAATGCAACTGTCCCTAACCCCTAAAAAAATAACCATCAACATTTATGTAAACACCCCTTTACAGCAACCATGTACTCAACGTGCTTCACAGAACAAAACTAAAAAGTTAGCAAAGAAAATAAAAGTTTTGAGTTTCTGCAAGTGTCTAGTTGGTGGGGAAAAAAGACAAAACAATTAGGGTGAGACAAATATGTATAACACTGAAATATGTCAGATGGTCAAGAACAGCTTCACCTGCAGTTTCTCATGCTCCTGATTCCTCTAAACATAACAACAGGAATCTAAAAAAGTTAAATCTGGTCCTCTGGACATTCAAAAAAACAAAACAAAGCAAATCAATTAAAAAATGTAGAAACATTTCGTCTCTCATCCGAGAGACTTCCTCAGTCTGAGGAGCTGTATTCAGCTCAGTCTCTTAAATGGATTATTGAGCATGCATCAGGATATTTTGAACCACTTTGGCCAGGATTGCCTCAAACTAGTTAGAGAGTTTGAGAAAACAGCAAGGAAGAGGGCAGACTACAGGAACCATTTGCGATTCAACCTCAAATGTCGACAAAGTGGCATCATTCCCAAGAGCCTGGAACTAAAATCTTCGGTCAGCAGGCACCGGGCAAACAAAATCCTTCAGAAGGCACAGACCCAGCTGCTGAATGAACGGGTGAGACAGACCAATTTTACTATTGAGGCCTTGAAGGCCAAAGAAGAGCACATTAAACAGAAACTAACAACGTGTCTAGATCAGACCACACTTCAGCAAGTGTTGGACTGTACAGATCAGGCACGCTTAGCACAGCATGTCAAGTCCAAGACTCGACAACAAAACAAGTTTAACGTACTAATAGCTCATCAACACCATCACTATTCCAACAACAACACATTCAGTGTAGGACAACACTCCAGTAGTCAATTACATGCCAGGGAGACAGAAAAGTGGGTGAAAAATTTATCAGACAGACAGCTCACCCAGCCAGAGACAGAGATTCTTGCCAGGGGACTGAACTTTGCGGTTGCACCAAGTAGAATTCCTCTGGTGGAGATGATCACAGCTACTGAGTCAGCAATCCGCAACAACAAAATTAAAGAGGCTGAAGCAGAACAGCTCAGAATCAAAGTTTCAGCCTGCCTCAGCAATGCCAAACCACCACCTTCCAACATCAGTAGAGAGGAGAGGGATGCACTCACCACTCTTAGCAAGGACAAAAACATCATCATTCTCCCAGCAGACAAAGGAAGGTGCACAGTGATTTTGAACCAGAAAGACTATCATGAGAAAGTTATGACACTCCTTAGTGACTTAACCACTTATGAACCTCTGAAAAGAGATCCAGGAAGTGGTTACAAGAAGAAGTTAATAGCTTGCCTGAAAAATTTGGAGCAGGACAAGGCTATTGACCGTTTTCTGTACCACAGACTGTACCCAGGGGAGGCCACACCTAGTCTGTATGGTTTACCTAAAATCCACAAACAAGGTGTACCTTTAAGACCTATTGTTAGCATGATTAACTCTGTCACTTACAATGTTTCCAAATATCTGGCATCTGTACTCATCCCTTTAGTTGGCAGCTCAGAACACCACATACAGAACACCATGGACTTTGTGGATAAGGTGAGGGATGTCATCATGGAGACTGATGAAACAATGGTCTCTTTTGATGTCACATCACTCTTTACGTGCATTCCTGTTGATGATGCAGTAGAGGTGGTCAGTTTAAAATTTAAATCAGACACCACTCTGAGCAGCAGGACCACACTTTCCACAGAACAACTGTGTCAACTCTTGAAACTGTGCCTGCAGTCAACCTACTTCACATATGGGGAGCAATATTATAGGCAGAAACATGGATGTGCTATGGGGTCTCCAGTTTCTCCTATTGTTGCCAACCTGTACATGGAGGAGGGAGAAAAGAGAGCGTCAACGTCCTTTTCAGGGACACCACCAAGTCATTGGTTCAGGTATGTTGACGACACCTGGGTTAAAATCAAATCTCAGGAAGTCCAACATTTTACTGACCACATCAACTCTGTGGATAAATACATCAAGTTCACACGAGAAGATGTAAAAAATGGCAGGTTGGCTTTCTTGGACTGTGAGGTCTCAGTCTCTGATAGAGGACATTTGCAAACTGAGGTGTACCGCAAATCCACACACACAGACCAGTATTTGCAGTTTGACTCCCATCACCCTTTGGAGCACAAGTTAGGAGTCATCAGGACTCTGTCTCACAGAGCAGACAGCGTCCCCACTAGCTCAGGAGCCAGGCAGAAGAAGAAATCCCACACAAGACAGGCTCTAGAGCAATGTGGATATCCTAACTGGGCCTTCCTGAAAGCAGAGAAGAAACCCAAACAGGACTCCAGTCAGCCAACAGGTGAAAAGGAGGAAGCCAGACCCAGACCAGTGGTCATTCCATATGTTGAGGGAGTATCAGAGAAACTGAGATGTTTATTTTCTAAACATAACGTCCCAGTGGCTTTTAAACCCCAAAATACATTACGGCAAAGACTGGTTCATCCCAAAGATCCAGTCCCCCGGCACAAACAGAGTAATGTTGTGTATGCTGTTCAGTGTCAGGAGGGCTGTGATCAGTCTTACATTGGGGAAAGAAAACAGCCACTGGCCAAAAGGATGGCCCAGCACAGAAGATCAACATCATCAGGCCAGGACTCTGCAGTCTACACTCATCTCCAGGCCATCTGTCACTCTTTCAGGGATGAAGATGTTCACATCCTGGACAGAGAGGAACGATGGTTTGAGAGAGGAGTAAAGGAGGCCATCTTTGTGAAAATAAATCGTCCATCATTAAACAGGGGTGGAGGCCTCCGGGTTCAACTGTCCCCCTCTTACAATGCTGTGATTGCTAGTATCACTCAGCCCTCTGTGAACAGTAAACAGCCATCAGTGTGCTAATGATCCATTGTTATGCTGATGGTCCTTCTTGAGCATGTGATCAGTTGGTTTTGGTTGTCAGCAGCAAAACTGGTTGATCCACCCTGAGAAGGTGTTATTTAAGAGACTGAGCTGAATACAGCTCCTCAGACTGAGGAAGTCTCTCGGATGAGAGACGAAACGTTTCTACATTTTTTTTTATTGATTTGCTTTGTTTTGTTTTTTTGAATGTCCAGAGGACCAGATTTAACTTTTTTAGATTTTTCTACCTGGATTATTGAGCATGCATCAGGATATAACAACAGGAACTTCTTGCTGACCTTATTCTTCATTATATTTATTGTGTTTGTTTGTGGTGGTGTGTTGCTCACCTGTCCCAAAGCCTCGCATTCCGACAGGAACCGGTGCAACAGCCAACGGAAATCAAAGCTGAAAAAAAAAATCATAAAGAATCAGTGGCTACCAAGAGAATTTCACATAAGCCACATTCTTCAAGGACCACCCAGAGAAGCGCTTGAGATTGCCAAGAGGTGATGTTTGAGAGGGAGGTAATGTGGGATTTCAGTATTTTTCCTCCACAGTTATTTCCACACCAGAGGGCACCAGAGATTCCACACCTGTCTCCCATTAATCCTGAAGAGCCTCTGGACCATAAATACCAGCGGTTGGCAATTGTCAGACGCTTCTGCGTTGACTGCCTGCTGATAGAGTGATCCTGGCCTGATAATTCTCCTTGTGCTTTGAAAGACTAACATTTTCTCCCGTGCCTCAGTGCTGCTCCAGTGTTTTCTCCTGCACTCTGAATCTCCCTGGAAACCTCCTTGTGTTCCCCTTCAGCTGCTCCTCACTCCCCACCACTCCTCCTCTTGTGCAAATCCTCCTGGAACCATTGGGACCTTTCACTTCAATGACCAACCACTAAACACTACAATAAGAGCTGTTTGTTGGACAGGGCACCTTCCTGGAAGCAGACCTGGGGTGGGTGTGTTGCTCATTGGTGAGCACCTGGTGATTGAGCCTTGGATCCTGGGGCTTGGCTAAGCCAAACCCCAAATAATAACAAGACGCTACCTACATCATCAAGGTCGGGTGCTATGGTTGCTGGGAGGTAGACGAGGGAGTGTCCCTGCCCATGCTGGTTCCTTGCAGCATAGACTAGCTCTAGTGACATGGAATGTCATCTCAATGAACTCATCTACTCTGAGCAGTGTCCTGAAAGGAGTTCCATCTGGGGATTTTGGTGTTCATCTGTAGGACTTCATTGTCCATATGGCCCATATGGTGAATGACAGTGTCACCTGGAGGGTGATGTCACTGAGAAATGACCTCCCTGATCTGAACTTATGATGTGTTTTGTTTTTGAACTTCTGGACTAAGCATGGGCTGTTCATAACAAGCACCATGTACAAGCATACAATGGTTCATGATTGAACGTGGTACCAGGCTATCTTGAGCCAAATTGAATATTCAATTTTGTCACTGAATTGTCAGACCTCATTAGAAAAAAAAGAGCACAATGAAAATCTATTAAAATTAAAATAACTGATAATGAATGCAAAAAATCTAGGCTATTTCTAAAAGGCTAAAGGGCTATTTCACTTACTCATGGTATTTGAACAATTTCAGATTAACTCTTGTTTAATGTCTTAAGTGCTTTTCCTTCTTAAACTTGACCCAAATTGTTCTGCAGTGAAGACAAATTTGTGGAAAAAAATGCTTATAGTATATACAATATATTATTTGTAAAAGATGAAAAAGAGTGTTTCTGTTGATAGATACTTAATATATATCATCTGGCTGCTAAAACTGGTCAACCTCAAACCATGGGTATCAATTCTGTGCTAGGTTGTTAGTACTGCTTCAAATTCACAATCAAACCACACTGATGTGCCAAGGCTCTATGTCATAGATATGTTGCTACAACTGGAACGACTCCACACAGGTCACTGAGACAATGCCACCACAATGATAAACTACCACAACCTTGCTATTGCAGTTTTATACTCACTGAAACCATTGTGAACCAACCAGTCTCTTTCATGCATATTTGGAAGCCCAGTGAATTCCTAATATGCACCTGAGAAGCTCACCAATACATTGCAAAGACCATCAACATTCTGACAGATTTTTATTTACATTGCAGAAAGGTTATAGTGTGATAGGGATAGCTTTTAGGGACTGTAAGTGACTAATTGTCATGTAGTGACATAAATGTAGAGTTGTGTATAATAGGTCTGGCATAGTGAGTCTTGCATTCTGGTTTTGCATCTCTCTGTAGTTGTTTAGTCTGAGCCTTATCCATCGATTGTTACCCATTTCTTTCTTTCTGGGTTGCAAGGGTTGCTTGTGCCCTTGTCCAGCAGTCACTGTGTGAGAGGCAGAATACAGGTCTCCAGTCCATCACAGGGCCACATAAAGACATACGTATGAGACGCCACACCTAGGGACAATTTAGTTACCAATTAGCCTTGATCTATATTGATCTGTGGGAAGAAACCGGAGTCTCCTGAGAAAACCCAAACATGCATGGAAAGAACATGTAAACCCCACACCGAAAGGTGCAAAGCCGGGATTTGATCCAGCAACCTTCTCTGGCATACTGCTTGTTTTAATGTGGATCCTCCTGGGTCCTCTGAGCTGTTGTGTTTTGACCTTAACATATGCAATCCTCCCAATACAGGTTTAATCTCTGAATTAATTTCTAACATAGGAACAGACAACTGTAAAAATTTGATTGAGATAGCCAATGACACCAGATGTAGTGCTAGCTTGAATCACTCGTAACCAAGAAACCACTGCGTTATTATGCACCACAAGACATCATCAAAACAACAATTTTAAGGTATATTTTTGTCAGGGGATTTTAGGTCAAGGTTTATGGATGTTTTATCACTACTAATGTTAACTTTTGAGTTGTCTGAGTTGTTTTCTCTCAGGAGAGGAGCTTATTTGATCCTGCATATACAGCTGGGAGGCCGAGGTCATCAGGCATGTGAGAGCTGATAAACATACATATAAAAACAAACCTCACACACTGCTTGGTGCAGATTCTCGTGACTTGGACTCATCGATGTAGAACTTTGTTTTAGACATATGTGTATCCTTAACTGAAAGTCTGCCCTTGCAAGTAAAACTAGTGAAAATATATTCTCGTGTTCTCAAGTGTGGCTTCTTTGAGTAAGATGAATAGACAATATTTTTATCCAACATTTTTGTTGCAAACTTAGAAATATTCTACAATTTTAACACAAATAAAATGTAATCTTTGTGTAATGAACAACTTTAACTGAACATGAGGTGCAGCAGCCACAGGATGGATGACCACTTCCTTTGGTCATCTATCAAGCAAGCCCCAAAACACAAAGAAACCACTCAGTGTGTGTAAAGGTAAGTAATAATCTAATTACTGTAAAATCTAGTCTTTGAATGAGCCTTCACCTTTTACTCTGTCTCTCACATGCCAAGGCTGTCCTTGATCCAGAGCTGACCTGCTTACTCTTCCTCTGTTTGTGTCCCGATGGTCCACCTGTCAGAGACACACTCACATTTTCTCTCTCCCTGACAGTGAGAATGTTTGTGACCAGGGGAAATGTACAGGTCAACCAAAAATAGGAGGTTGGTATAAAATTTGCCTGGTACTCTTGTTAACTGTCAAAGGAAACACAAAGGTGCATATGTAACAATGTTTATATTCTTCAAATGGCTGAGCATCCAAATAATAATAATAATAATAATGCTTTATTTATAAAGTCCTTTACAACAACCACATCTGCAACAAAGTGCTGTACATATAAAATCAAGAAAGTTTAAAACACATAAAAAAATTAAACGGTTGTTAAAACACAAAGATCAATAAAAACAATAAAAACAGTGCAGAACAAATTCAGTGTGTGCTAAAAGCCAGGGAGTAAAAATGTGTTTTTAAAAGAGTTTTTAAACTGGACAGTGAAGGGGCTCGTCTGATGAGAAGAGGGAGATCGTTCCACAGTCTTGGAGCGGCAACAGAAAAAGCTCTGTCCCCTCTGAGCCTCCGTTTGAACCTCAGCACCTCCAGGAGCAGCTGATCAGCTGATCTGAGGCACTGAGCAGGAGAGTATGGGTGAAGCAGCTCAGAGAGATAGGATGGAGCAAGACCATTTAAACTTTTAAAAACAAATAAAAGAATCTTGAAGTGAACTCTGAAATGAACAGGCAGCCAGTGGAGTGAAGCTAGAGTGGGGGTGATGTGCTCCCTCTTTTGAGCTCCAGTTAGAAGCCGAGCAGCAGCGTTCTGGACCAACTTGAGACGTCTGATGGAGGACTGGCTGACGCCAAGGTAAAGAGTGTTGCAGTAATCCAGCCAAGAGGTGATGAAGGCATGGATTACTGTTTCCAGCTGTTGTTTCCACTCCCGTCTGTTTTGGAGCAACATGGGGGGATGGTGACGTCATCGGGCGAAATTATAATTCTTAATATCTCATAAACTAAAGCAGCACAAACGCTAGTTTCACCAGAACAAACGAGCACTAACGAAGCACTAACGAAGCACTAAAAAAGTAGACCACTCCCGTCTGTTTTGGAGCAACATGGGGGGATTGTGACCTTTGGATGAGCTAAAAATTAATCTTTAATATCTCAGAAAGCAAAGCAGCACAAACAAAAATTTTAACGGCACAAACCAGCACTAACGGAGCACTAACCATTCAGACTAGTTGCTTTAATTTTGGAAGTGGGTGGGGTGTCAGCTTCACTCAGCTAATGGAAGCTGGTAAAGGGAGAAAAGCAAGGGACCTAAAATAGAGCCCTGTGAAACCCCAAAAAACAGAGGAGCAGTGGAGGATTCAAAACCAGCTATGTTGACACATATGGTTCTGGCTGCCAGATACAGCCTAAACCAGCTCAGTACAGTACCACAGATACCCACTTGGTGCTGTAAGAGTGATATTAAAATGTCGTGGTCCACTGTGTCAAAGGCAGCGGTTGGGTCGAGCAGGACCAGAACATGTTCACCAGAATCATTAGCCAAAAGAACATCATTAAAAACTCTGAGCTTTCAACCAGTTTGACAAGACTGTCAACAAGGAAGAGGGCCGGCAATGGAGGAGGGGCATACCAAAGAGACCATCTAATCACAAGCAGAACTGGTTTGTTCCACTTTGAAGTAAGCTGTTGGGGAAGAATCAGTTTTGTTGTGTGTTTCCTTGACTGATGAAGCCGTCCGGATCGAAGGCGAAACGTTTCAGCTCAAAAAAAAGAAACTGTCCAGATGACCTGAATGAAAAATGTTGGATTGTATACCTGGATTATTGAGCATGGACTTTGTTCTGACTAGAGCTGATTCTGTGCTGTACAGAGTTTGAAGCCAGACGGAAAAACCTCCAGGATATTGTGTTCATCCCCAAAAAAACATTTGATCTGTGATTACTAGTGATGTATTGGTACATGTAGGT